ACGGGGGGGGGGGAGGGCCTCCCGCCGGCGCTCGAGGTCGCGCAGTCCTGATGTGAGAAGATTTGATCTGCATAGACCTACTGGCCTGTACTCTGACCTCATTATCAACAAGCAGAATCGATACCGTGACCGTGGTGGCCGCGACCGTGACCGTGATCGCGATCGCGATCGGGACTCATACCGCCGCAGAGAACGGTCTGTAGATCGACGTGACAACGACCACTACCGCGGAGGAACTCGAGATCACCGTGATAGAGATAGACGCAGGTCGCGTGACCGGTATAATGACAGGCCTCGCTCCCCTGCACGCAGACGAAACCGCAGTCGTGACGATGACAGGGATCCCAGGAGGCGGCCTGATTCCCGTGATGGGGGTCGCGGCCGCCGTGAAGGCACTGCAGACACTTATACCCGCGGCAGCCGCCCCGACAGTCGAAGTCGAAAGACGCCCCTGGCTGATAGCGCCAAACCTGGATCCGATCATGCAAAGAACAAAGTGGCGACTCCTCAGTCCGATGCCGATAAGAAGGCTGAGCGACTTGCGAAATTGGAGGCTTGGAAGAAAAAGAAGGAAAGCGAAAGTCAGAAGCAGAAGGAGGTAAATCCTAGTCAGACTAGAAGCCTCCTAGCCGAAATGGATATGAAGGCCATGGGACTTTCATCGTCTGCTGGCTCGCCCGGTGTTTCGTCAGTCGCCTCACCGGTGGCGATGAATGAATCCGGCAGCGCATCCCCTGCTGTTCCTTATGCTGGCAAGTTTGACCCCAAGACCATTGCCAAGAAATCTGCTGCATCGAGAACGCATGATACTTCCAAGTCTGTATTGGGCTCACTTGATGTCCAGCAAGAGCAGCTGGCTGCCCCTGTCAAACAGAAGACTATTGGTGAGTGCCAGTCCTTCAGAACATCCAGCGGACTCAGCCTTGTTGTTAACAGTGGTCGAAAAGCTTCCGCTTTGCCCGCCAACAGAGTGAAGACGAGTGCGTTCGGGTTCGGGAAGTCCCATGCAGACGCGGACAAGCTACCCACGAAGCGCAAACTCGATCTCGACGAAGAGGATACCACCAAACGAACGCTTACAAAGCTGCCCGCTCTACCTATGGAAACTGATGATACCCCTTATGCTGATCAGGATGAGGACGACGACTCGGATGGAGACAATTTCGCGGAGAATGAAGAGGAGGCTGCTGCCGCGGCACGTGCCGCGCACGAGAGAAGACAGCAGGCGGAGAACCAAGCTGAACCCCAGCCAGGTGAGCCCATGGAGGAAGATTCCAAAGAAGACAACGTGCAAGTTGATGGAGAGACAAACGGCGTACGAGATAGCAATGGTGCTGTCGTGGAAGAAGAAGAAAAGGAAGACGCCCCGGAGCCGAGTATGGATGTGGACGAAGAAGAAGAGGACGTGGATCCCCTGGATGCCTTCATGGCCGACCTAAAGCAGACGGAAACAAAAAAGCCTGTCAAACCTGTCATTGCCGCGAAGAAAGCTCAGGAACCGGAAGCCTATTTTAGCGACGACGAGTACAACTTTGATTCAGAGCAGAAAGGAGATTCCGACATCCTTGCTATTGCAAACAAGCGCAAAAAGAAGGACATTCCCACAGTGGACTACAGTAAGATTGACTTGGTACCAGTTCGCAAAAACTTCTGGGTTGAGCCGGCCGAGTTGAGCGCCCTTACCGAGGAAGAACTGGCGGATTTGCGCCTAGAGCTCGACGGCATCAAGGTCAATGGCAAAGACGTGCCCAAACCGGTCCAGAAATGGGCCCAATGCGGCCTCACGCGCCAGACCTTGGATGTCATTGACAATTTGGGCTATGAAAAGCCAACAACTATTCAGATGCAGGCTATCCCTACGCTCATGTCTGGTCGTGATGTCGTCGGCGTGGCCAAGACTGGTTCTGGAAAAACCGTGGCATTCCTGCTCCCCATGTTCCGCCACATCATGGACCAGCCGCCCATCAAGGACACTGATGGTCCCATTGGCTTGATTATGACGCCAACTCGCGAGTTGGCTACACAAATCCACAGGGATTGCAAGCCGTTCCTGAAAAGCATGGGGCTGCGTGCCGTCTGTGCGTATGGAGGTGCGCCAATCCGAGATCAGATTGCCGAATTAAAGCGTGGTGCTGAGATCATTGTCTGCACCCCCGGCCGAATGATTGATTTGCTTGCTGCGAACCAGGGCCGAGTGACGAACCTACGGAGAGTGACTTATGTCGTGTTGGACGAAGCAGATCGAATGTTTGATATGGGTTTCGAGCCTCAGGTCATGAAGATCTTTGCCGGCATGCGTCCCGACAAGCAAACGATTCTCTTTTCCGCAACAATGCCTCGAATTATCGACTCGCTGACCAAGAAGGTCCTAAAGAGCCCTGTTGAAATTACTGTCGGTGGCCGCAGTGTCGTGGCCAAGGAGATTGAGCAAATTGTGGAAGTCCGTGAGGAGAGTACCAAATTTTTCCGCGTTCTGGAGCTCCTGGGCGAGCTGTACGATCGAGACGAGGATGCCCGCGCATTGATTTTTGTGGACCGGCAGGAAAAGGCCGACGACTTGCTCAAGGAGCTCATGGTCAAGGGTTACCCCTGCATGTCGATTCATGGAGGCAAGGATCAAGTGGACCGCGACTCAACGATTTCCGATTTCAAAAAGGGCGTCGTGCCCTTGCTTGTTGCTACATCAGTCGCCGCTCGAGGTCTCGATGTGAAGCAGTTGAAACTTGTCATCAACTACGATGCGCCGAACCATCTCGAGGACTATGTTCACCGTGCCGGCAGAACAGGTCGTGCTGGCAACACCGGCGTTGCGGTTACTTTTGTCACGCCGGATCAGGAGAATTGCGCCCCGGGTATCGCCAAGGCCCTTGAGCAGAGTGAGCAGCCTGTGCCCGAGCGCCTCAACGAGATGAGAAAGGCACATCGTGAAAAGGTCAAGTCCGGCAAGGCCAAGGACTCGTCTGGCTTTGGTGGCAAGGGTCTCGATCGTCTTGACCAGGAACGAGAAGCTGCTCGTCTCAGAGAGCGCAGGACACACAAGGCCGAGGGCGAAGAAGAGGAAGAAAAGGAAGACAAGGAAGAGGAGAATAAGAAGGCCGAGAGGGCCCTGGACGCCATCCGAGCAGCTGCATCGGGTGTACAAGCCCGGGACACATCCAAGCCAGCCGCAGATGGTCAAAAAGGTGGCGATAATACCGCCACCGGCGGCGCGGACAAGACCAAAGATGCCCTTGACAAGGTCAGCTCCGCAGTCAGCGCCATCAACAGCCGCCTCGGCAAGGCAGGGCAGCTCCGATCTGGTCAGCCCATCGACAATAAAGGTCCCGACGCTGGCGCATTCCATGCGACTCTGGAAATCAACGACTTTCCGCAAAAGGCCAGATGGGCCGTCACGAACAGAACCAATGTGGCCAAGATTCTGGATTCCACTGGAACGTCCATCACGACCAAGGGCAGTTTCTACCCTCCCGGCAAGGAGGTTCCTCCCAACGCGGACCCGAAGCTGTATATTCTCATTGAAGGTGATACGGAACTAGCTGTCGGGTCGGCGCTTCAAGAAATGACGAGATTGCTAAGAGAGGGAACCATTGCGGCAGCAGATGCGGATAGCAGAGCGCCAGCAAGTGGTCGTTACACAGTCAGTTGAAATTTGAAAAAAAAAAAAGAGTTTTTCATGGGATGAGGACGTTGGCTGGAGATTCTATGGTATGTTGGGGGAATATGTACGTACAGTTGACCGGAGCTAGGAGTTTGTTTGGGGGAATATATATGTTAATATGCCAGCACAAGTCCACTCGAGTAGAGTAGAAATAAAATTCAGCGTTAATTGCAGTTTGAAGAAGAAAAGGAAAGAAAAAAAACAAGATAAATTTAAATCAACATCGCTGGTGATATGCTAAAGAGTGCTCTCTGGGTGAAGGAGAAAACCGCCCAATACTCGACGAAAAAAACACCAAAGTTATATATATACGGCATACATGCCCCGTAATTCTAAAACACTTCTTCTTCACGCATACATCTCTACACATCACACCCTCGACAAGCTTGACACGACTCCAACATGGGAGTGACATGAAGAAAAGCGCATGCGTCCTAATTATACGTTGTGGCCTCGTTATTTTCAATCTCCCTCCGCCGCTGCTCCTCCGCGCTAGCTTGCTTTAGGGTATCTGCTCGCGACTGACGCTTCTGTGCGGATAATTGGCTCTGTAGCTTTCCGCCTGGTTTGCCGGATGCTTTTGCTCTGGCCTGCCCATCTTTTGTTAGTCTCACTGGAGGGTAGCTAGGCAGGCATATGCATGTATGTGCGAGTGCGCACCTCTGCAGCTTCGGCGGCTTTCCTTCTCGCGTCGCCTACGTCGCCGGAAGGTGTCGTCGCTTCGCCGGAGCCGGTGCCGGTGCCGAGTGTTCGCGGGGGGCCGCCGACTTTTCTGGGGACCGTGGACTTTCGCTGTGCTGCGGGCGCGGAGCCGAGGACGCGGCCGGGCGGCGAGGTGTCTGGCTCTTCTTTGCCGCAGATGTTGCCCATTGCGAGGGTGCTTTCGGGACGGGGGTTGGATGGCTGGGTTTCAAAGCCGAGGTGTTGAGGTTTGCGTGGCTGGCTATGCGGGTTGGTGGTGAGAGGGATTCCCCTCTCTCTTGTCTTCTCTGCGGTGAAGTTGGCTGCCCCACTCGAGCTTGGCCTCTTCTTTGTGCTTGACTTGGGTAGATTGTTGTTGGTGCCTCTGGTGTAGCTTTTGGACGGCGGGACCCGAGATATGTAGCGTTGCAAAACCTGCTTCCATCTTCGCCATGGTAACGGTGGCGAAAGGGGGTGACGGCTGTCATGGACCAAGTTGCATTTTGACTCCCCTTGGCGGCTTCCTCGCGAGAGCAACCGACATGGCGGTAACCGCCTTTTGGCATGGCCGTATTTTGTGGGGCCGTGCCCGTCACCGGCGTCCTACCCGGAACCTCCGCCTCCGGAGGGCGGAAAGCTGGTAGCTTGCTAACTCGCGCGGGCTTTCTTGATCTATTGGTATCTTGGCAAGACAATTATGTTTCCTGTATTTCCAGACTTTACCGAGTTGAATATCTTGGGCTCTTGGGGTTTAAAGTACGCTTAGCCCGAATCAATCAGCTCAATCTTGCTCCCATATCACACTCAGCTCGAACGTATTTTCATAGAAGAGCATCGTCACAGTAGCATTGGAGTAACTTTTCAAATCTCGTTTCCGGGACAATAAAACATGTCAGTCGAATAATGTACTGTTAGCATTGTGCTGATATTGTGGGCTCTCCGCCGCTTGGTCCTTTTGTTATCGTCAAACCGTCTCTAATACTCCGTAGTTTGGTCACAAATGTGGGCAACGCCTAAATTGGATAAGGCAAGAGCTCGCGAGCTCCACCTCCCGGCAGTGCGGACTACTAACTACAATGAGCTGCCCTCTCGGGCCCTCTTTTTTTTTTCCCGCGTGCAAGGGAAAGTGCGCTCCTCCATGTCATGACCATCCGGGTTCTCAGCTGCGCACCAGGATACGGGCAACAACCACATTGAGCAAGCCCATCCTGCTCGTCCTGGCCGTCCACACAGAGGCGCAAATGTGCAATTCTTGTCCAGTAAGAAACCATGCGACTCGTAGACGCTTCGTCTCTTTCTTTTCTTCCTCTCTTAGAACCGCTTTCGCCCCGATATCAGAGCATCGAAGCATCCCAGCCTCCAGCGCATCGGCCATTTTCTTCAACCAGCCAGTTTTTTCTCGTTTCTGGATGCCTCGAGTCCGTAGCAGTCTCACAGCCATAGTGTCCGAGCTTCTGCTGCCCTCTTTTCCCTCTTAAGTTGCTGTTGCTGTCGCTGTTGTTGTTGCTGCTGCTCGCCTTCAGCCGCCTCATTTTCTTCATCAGCAATCAGCACTCAGACACTCAGACCCTGCTGTCTCACCCTTCTTCTGCTCAAAGACAAGCCTTATGGGCGAGAGGTTCAGCCTTCTTGCCGACCAGTCACTCATCCCTTCTTGAACGGTAAATATATGCTTGGCATTGTTTCGTTTGGCCCCAACTCTGCGACTTCCAATCCCAAGACTACCCCCCGGCCTCTTCTCCGTCCCGACAACTCTTTCTAGCTTTGAAGACTTCTGCCCCTCCCTACTCTGGCTGTATTCAATCCCCTTTTCCGTATATCCTGGGAACGGCGGTATCTACTTGTCGGAGTTGCTCCTATTCTCCCCCGTAGAACCGTTTCACCGTCTTTCGGGCCTCGCCTTGTCTGTCCTCGCCTCCTGCGTTCCTGCCTCCTCGACACTCCACTTCTCTGGCTGCTCATGTTGAGCTACATCGGATGACAATGATGGACGGCTCGCACATGGCCTTCGATGGCCTGATGGGCTCAGCAAATAACTCGTCCAATGACGAAATGGCGAATATTCATCTCGATTTCGACACGCTCCTGTCCACCGAGCACGCACTGAATTCTGGTCTTGGGCCATATGAACCATGTATCCACGACGACTCTTGCCTCCACTTTACACAACCTAGCAAAGCTCAGGGCAAGTCGCAAGGAAGTCTTGCACAAACGCCACTGGCCACTTCATCTTCCACTCTTGCCCGGAATCGACCCGAATCCAACCGTACGAAACACGGCAGAGCGAAGAGCCAGGTGGACATCCCGTCCAATCTGGATCACATGCAAGATTATTCGTGGGACAACATCTTCGACGACAGTGCTCTGAATGTGTGTAACCTTCAGGGAAGTGGTGGTCTTGGCCTCTGCAAAGATGATGACTGCGTATCCATGTCTTGCAGCTCAGCTTGCGAGGGCAGTTGTCCTAGCCAGTGTGGCGAAACTGGCCACGCTGTTTGTTGCGATGACGATGCCTGTGGAAGCCCAAATCTTTGTGTCGACGAGCATTGCGAAGGAGCAAGTCAGCCTTGTACGGATGAAAACTGCGTCGTGGACCCATCTATAAACCAACAACAATCACAACATTCATCTGCTATGACCGATGGCGACAAGGCGGCGGCAGCCGCGCTTGCATCGTTTGGCGGTAACAACCTACATGCCGTTCAACAAGGCCTCGCCCAGCAGCCACAACACCACTCAACATCGAGAGACGGGTTCATAAACTTCGCAAATCTGCCACATAGCTTGCCATGTGGCAGTCTTTCCATGGACTCTATATTTGCAAACGTAAACGGTCACCCGAGTTTCCCTAACCAGCCAATTCCGACGCCTCTGGAGTATGCTCTGGCAAACCATATCATGCAGTATCACGACCCGTCACATGGGCTCGCTAATCATGGATCATGCGTGGCCAACGACCCCAGTCAGTTAATCACTAGATGTACTTTGCCAAAATTCAACCCCAATGACATGGCCAATGCGGATCCATTTCTGCCTCAATTACAGTCTCACGAGTGTGGTTTTCAAGTCCAGGGCCCTAATGAATTCGCCAACCACATCTTCCAAGAGCATGGGTCGACGTTCATGCAGGGAAATCAATTTGCGTTCTCTGGCTCTTCTCACTCTCATGGACACTTGACCAGCCCAACTTCTCACCAACACCAGGGTGGTCATGGCCCTTATTTCAACTATAACGCGGCCCCTACCTCAAAACATTTCTCTCCGTCAATGTCGCCACTGACAAACTTGTCTATGGGACCTTCATTATCCGCGACTCCGGCCTCGTTGCCAACACCGTCTCCTCTTGATTCTGAACACCCTCTCACAGACGTCACGTCTACTGCCAATGTTTTGAGTCCTTCGACTGAATCGAAGCCTCAGGTCATGGCACAGGAAGACCAGTTTCTTTGTCGATGGCTGGTGGGACAGGGTGGCTCCATTTGTGGACAACGCTTCGAGAATGACGAACAGTTACAGAAACACTGCAAGCATGACCACCTGAAGCAGTTGAAGAAGATTAATGGTGGCTTCAGATGTGGTTGGGCTAACTGCACACGGAACACTTGCTTTACTCAGCGGAGCAAAGTTGAGCGGCACATGCAGGTCCATACCGGGTGTAAGTGATGTCCCGCACACCTTGTATGTAGTTTTAGGGCGTGGCAATTTTACTAAACTGAATTAGACAAACCCGTTCAATGTACCATTTGCGGAGCTGCTCTGTCAGCAAAGCAGGCTCTTGACCAACATATGAGGATTCACACAGGAGAAACACCATGGGTGTGCAAGTACCCCGGCTGTGGCTGCGCCTTTAAGCAGCAAAGTGCTCTTAGTAGGCCCCCCTCTTTTCTCCCCCTTTGCTATAATACTTCACCAAGCCGAATGCTAACAGGCTCGACAGCAATGCATGAGCGGACACATACTGGTGACAAACCTTTAGAGTGTGAGATTTGCGGCAAGCGGTTTAGCGAGTCGTCGAATCTATCCAAGCACCGGCGAACCCACAATGTTAAGGGTATGCATGAGTGCCAGCTCTGTGGCAAAGATTTCCACAGGCTTGATCAGTTACGTCGTCACATGGGCACAAACCATAAGGACAGGCCCGCTGAGGTCGATGCTCTTTTGAGCGAAGCTAGAAGCAAGATCAAGGCGAACAAAGTTTCAAAACTGAAGAAAGCTAAAGCCAAGGGTAGGGATGGCAAGGCCAAGCCTGAACTATTGCTGAATTTGGACGACGAAGATGATTGCATGGACATGATTGAAGATTCCATCCATACAGTCGCCATTCAACCATGATCATTCTCTCATGGCTTGAGTGTTGCTGGGTGGACTTGTACGTTGCATATTGGCGATGATAGACGGCATTCTGGGGATACTGAATTGGGAAACACACACACGGAAATACACATGGGGTTAAACTGGGTTTTCACGATTTATGGAGGCGGAAGTGGATTATGCATATCATGAGGATGTACATATGTCACATATGAATGGTTGGTTGTTGCAGCTTGGAGACGACTGGCGGTTTTTGTCTGGGTTGTTGATGTCATTGGGCCATTATTCAGTATTTTGCGCAGAAAGAGATTAGGAGGCGTACGGTAGTGCGTAAATAGATGCCTGAGATACCCGGACATAGTGTATGTTGGTGACGAGAACGTTGTCGGTGCTGCGCGCACGCAGGTTTTGTGCCGGTAGGATTGCCGAAGTGAGGGCGCGTCTACGCGACTCGAGATATCCGTTTTGAACTCCACAGGTATTGCGTAATGACGATACGACACTTGAAGACTCGGACAACGATTATGATCATGACCTCGTTTTGAATTTTTTGTTGTTCTTTTTAGGGCTGCTGATCTAGCTTTACACCCCAATCATGGACGACATTCCGTGAAGTTATTTCTCATGTCCCAGAACGAGGTCCCAAACCAGGAAATAGGTTACACAACGTCAGACCGAAGAAACGGTTCCATAATCCCCTCCTTTGCTTGTTTGAGCCATGCGATGCAAAAATTTTTTCAGAAGCCGTTTCGTTCTCCTCATGAAGAAAAAAGGACGCCACGCCTCTAAACTCGGAAAAAAGTACCCAGATCTACCCATAATAGTTCCTTCTTCTCTCTCCCCATCAAACACCTAGTACATTGTCGAGCACTTAGGCCTAGGTACGCAATTAGTATGTGATACATATCCATCCGTGTAGCGTTAGGTTGACGGCGTACCTTGATGGCAAACTTGCGCTGAGGGAAGTGAGTGTTGCGCTTCTTGGTCTTCTCCAAGACGCGGGCCTTGTCCTCGGGTGATAGTCGGCGGCGGATGGCACGGGTCTGCTTGACACGGAGGTCCAGAGGGGCGTACTTCTTGTTCTTGTAGAAGAGGCGGAGCTGGGAGCGCTGCTTGGCGTTGATGACGGTGAGGACGCGGGCGATTGACTTGCGCAGGTCGTGGCTATTGTACATGATCAGCATATTGGAATATCGTGCAACCGACGCCATTTTCCTTCTTTTTCTTCTTCCTCCTCGTCGTTTTTTTTATGCGGTCGTCATGTTTGTTTCTGGATATTCGGATGGCGAAAAATCAGGTGCGGAATGGTGGGTGTGTTTGCTCACATCTTGTTCAGCTTGCTGCCAGAAGAAGCGACCTTCTGGATGCGCAGCTGGCCGAGCTCAGTCTTGAGCTCGCTGAGCTGCTTCGTCAAATCATCCTTGCTCTTGTCCCAGAGCTGGACGGTCTTAACCTTGCCCGACGACTAGAGACACATGGCGTCAGCATTTCGGGGTAGTCCTGTGTGATTTGTTTGACGAATTCCGTCGTGGCGAGGGCAATGTTCTTCCCCAGACAGCATTTTGTGGCGAGGACTTGAGATGGAGCGTATTTCGAATGTGTCATTGTCGAGCAATTGCGAGGGTTGGTGGTGAGATGAGGATATTCGGTTCCGCCATTTGTGACATTTCCAGATTTCGATATATTCGAATCTGCTGGCGTTGCAGCCAGCGTCACGGAAATAAATGCTGCCATGGGGAATCATGCCGTCTCAAGCAGAAACAGGAGCTTTGACTCACCATCTTGATGGTCTTCGATGGGTGATGTGCGAAGTGTGTCGACGGAGTGCGTAAGTAGAAGTCAGCCTCGACCGTGACCGTCCTTGTCGCGATGGATCGTATGCCTCTGAGAATTTAGTCGAAGTTTGCCGAGACGGTGAAAAATTGCCCTAGGGTTTGCGGATGTGTGCGCCGGCTGGAGCAAATGTAGAATTTTCATTGGCTGTGGTGTGTGGGGCGACGTGGATCAACGGAGCATCACGTGGAGTGTCTCGTGCCCTGCAAGTGGGTGCCAGGGGCGGGCGGTGAATTGATGGATTCTGCCGGTCTTTCCTCAGGCGGGTCTGGTACTAGCCTGCCCCCGGGACTAGTGACGACGGTCTCACCTGGCTTTGGGTGTTCTTTCTCGCAGTCCGTATCGGCCCGCATCCTGACAACTACACATTGTCGCCAACCAAAAAAAAAAAAAAAATAATACAGATTCAACATGGCCGCATCATCAGCGAGCGCGGTCTGGGCACAGCTGCGGCAGCAGGCGAGATCATTAGAGACCCAGGTATGTCTGAGGCCGGGCGCAGTTCACTTGCACCGCTCGAAACCATTCATTCTCTCATGACGGATGGAGACCCCTGGCTAACCCACCGCAGACGGAGAACTTGTTCCATACGTACTCGCAGTTCTCGTCGGCTGTCAATATCCCGCCCAAACCATCAGAAGAGGAGCGCAACACTGAAGCCAAGATTGAGGAGTTACTAGACAAGGTTGGTTTTTTATTCTTCCCCGGTTGCCATAGCCGTCATGTAATCAGCTTTGTTAAATCGTCTAACATCCCCGGCCCAGCGCGACTCAACAATCTCCCAGCTAGCACGGCTTCTCGACTCCGAAACAACACTCACTGCATCTGGCGTCAAGCAGAGCAACCTCTCGCTGCTCCGCGATAAGCTGTCCTCCCACAGATACGACCTCAACCGCTTGCGTGGCACCCTCCAGCAAGCCCGGGACCGAGCCAACCTCCTCACCAATGTCCAGTCTGACATTGACAACTTTCGTGCCAATAACCCCGAGACTGCGGAGGCCGAGTACATGCTCGAGGAGCGAAATCGTATCGACAACAGCCACAACATGGCGGATAGTGTGCTGAGCCAGGCGTACGCGGTACGGGAAAATTTTCTCCTGCAGCGCGAGTCGCTGGCCAATATTAATCGGCGAATCACCATGGCTGCGAGCAAAGTGCCTGGTATCAACGGGCTGATAACCAGGATATCGGCGAGAAAGAGGAGAGATGGCATCATCATGGGGTCCTTTATTGCACTCTGCTTTCTGATCTTCTTTTGGTTCTCATAGTTGCGAAAGAGAGAGAAGAAAAGTAAGGAAACAAATACACGCTGCGAAGGGGGAGAAAGTTTGGGACAGTCATTTCGTCATCATCCGCATGTTGGGCCGGCGTTTTTTATGGATATGGGGTATCAGCGGTTGGCTTATCTATTCTTCTAGTGTACAGTACAAAAGGGGGCTCGAGGACACCCAACGTCATAATTTGTTAGAACACAAAATGTCCTTTGATTGACGGACAGTTTCGTTTCCTTAAAATGTTATGTTCCAAACCACGCCTATGCGCTCTGTTTTTCAAGGTGAGGTTTTCCCGGCAGTTGTTCCCTCGCTGCAGCGGGTCGAGCTGCATCCCTCTTGATTTCCTCGACCAATCGAGCGAGACCTTTTGCCAGACTTGCATTCTCCTCGGGATGGCTAGGGCCGCTTCCGGCCCAGCGAATGCGACAGTGGTGGTCGACAAGATAGGTGTAGCCGACTTTGCTGTTCAGCAGGCCAATCGACTCTCTGATGTCATCCGTGATGCCTCGCTGGACAAGGAAATACTTGTCCCAATCCTTCTCTGGAAATCTCTTTCTCAGAGAGCCACGGAACAGCTTGACCAGCCAGGCCTTGCCCTTGTTATCTTCGTAGTTGATGTGGATCATTTGTGCGAGATGGCCACTTTTGTCGAGAACGTCGTGCAGAGCCGGGTTTGACTCCTTAGACACAAACGTAGCGGCCTGCTGCTCCGCCCACTGGCTGCTGTAGATGGAAACGACGGATGCCTTCCCCGTCAGCAGGGGGGTGGTGTCGCGGGGTGCCTTGTCGGTCTTGACGAGGGTTTCCCCGTATAGGTTGGGAAAGAAGAGAGATAGTTCGGCCTTGAACAGTCGGGGTGGCGCAATGAAGGATTTGCCTTGGTGGAATTGGAGATTGCCCCAGTCGCGAAAGTACGGCCTCGATATCTTGGCCGTTCTGGAAAGATCGCGTCAGTATTTTGTTCAGCGGCGGCTGGGGATGTTAGCGTAGAGGGGCGTTGCAGTGTACAGTTCCTTCCGTCTTGCAATGTGCTTCTCATAGTCTCCAAAGTCCTCCTTTCGTTGTTTCAAGGACCGAGTGTCGATGCCCGTGTTCTCGCCGGGCCGTGGGGGCAGCGGCATGCCAATCGGTCGAGGGAGAGGCTTGGGCGTGAAGTTCTCGTCCACTCGCTTGCCGTAGCTTCTCGGTGCTTCGATGGGAGCGCCAGGAGTATTGCTTTTGGGGTCCATGGACGTTCCGGACGCGGGAGGTTCTGTTCGCGCCTGCAGCGCAGAGGCCGTGAAGCCGCGACGCCATTGGCAGTAGATGCATGTCGCTAGGGGTGAGGAGAGCGATTGTCGGGAGGCGAAGCTGGCGACGGCCAGTCCCAACCTGGGTGACGACATGTCACGGCACTAGGACGTGTTTCGGAGCGGCGTGGACTGAAGTCGCCGTGCTTTGTACGGAGTATTTGACCCAGATCCAACGGCTTCGAGGCTTCAATGGGCCCCGCACGTGCAAACTGGTCCCTCGTCACAGATACTCCGCCGCTGAGGCTCTGCTCGCTTAGTCAGCCAGGACACCAAGTCTGGAGCGTGCCACTCACGGCGACCAGCCAAGTGCTGACCATCGATGGAATCCTACTCCCATTCCGTGGCCTGGGCCGTGTATTGGTTCCTGGGGCCACTTGGCGGCGTGGGTAGTGGGAGCTGCAACCGAAAAGCCATGACCACCGATGGTCGACAGACCTTTCAGCACCCCCCGGTCCCACCAAATCTCTGTTGAATCTCAATGTCGCTTTGCTCCCCCGGACTCGGCTATTCGCGGCGGCTCAATCACCCACTCACCAATGCCGATTGAAGCCATGTTATACTCGGCCTATTGCAATGACGGCTCTACACAAATTCGTCCTGCAGCTGAAGCTCTCGCCTTTCA